TGTATTTGTTAGCTATTCAAGGTTACCCGCGATAACTTGTTACGCGACACAATTCTTTATAATTTTAAGGATGGCTGCTAGAGACCGTACGTTGCTCTTTCTGTTGTTATTCTCTGCAGTATTCTATTTAGACACATGAAGGTAGTTTTCTTATTTTCCACGTGTACGATTATACAGTGCTATGTTAATTCCTAACTAGCTTTTTCTACTGCATCGCTCTCTACCAACAGATGGAGTCAAAATCAGAAATCAGAATTGATCAGTCTCAATGGAACAAATTTTTGTGCGGTAAAATCAATGCGGCAATACCAATGGAAATGTTTGGTCGCACTATAGCTGTCAACGAAGTGATTTTTCGTTTGAATATCCCCTGTATTTCGAGTTCTACATCTGAAATCGCCGTTAGCCATTCCATTAAACATGTTGCTTCTAGCACGAGACGAACTATCTCTGTACCCGGGTTCAAACCTTGATCACAACGTGTTCTGAAGATCAACAGGCAAATACATTACCCACCCAGCCATCACGGGTTTGATTACCCCGGAGGTGCAATGGTTCACAGACAAAAATCTAATCACTGGCATACCCCAGAACTGTCTCGTTTTCGAGTGATTTCGAACTGTAGCTATATTTATCGAAAATATTCACTGTCTAGTTTGAAATAAACATTTTTAAGACAAAGTAAAATTGTATGTCCTTGCCATAAGAAAATGTAAAGGTTTCACACTCTTTAACATCCCTCAAAAAATCAGCTAAGGTGGAAAATGAAAACTACGGCAATATTACAAGTACCATGGTAATAAACAAGCTAAATTAATAAAAAAAATCAAAACTAAACTTTAGATAAACTCGCTACATGTTGATAAAATATGTTAAACGTAGCTTTCTTATTAGAGATAATGCATGAAGTGTATTTTATATTTTGTTTTCAAAGGCGATATAAAGTACAACACACCTAACTTGAAAAACATTTCTCACAAAAGAAAAAGTATGGGAAAATTGTTAAGAAAACGTTTTCTCGATCCAAAATCTAACTCCCATTACGCACCACCGTACGTTGATAAAATATGCTGCGTCACACAGTGAATAGTATCTCGATTCCGTCGGCACTGTCGGTATGAATGAAAATTTAGTTTTGTTAGAAAAACAAAAATGCCGCCGTTCCCTGAGGGCGTTTTTGTTCTAAATATCTTGAGTAGAGATACTGTTTCGTATAGAATGCAGTATGCCATTGAGGGCAGTTATTGTTTGCTGCTAGCATTTCCTGCAAGTAAAAAAACTAGCGAAATATAGTAAACACAAATAAAATCATATCACATGAAAAGAGGTCATTGGAACTCAACTAATCAAGACTAAGCGAGAACCTTAGCGTTCTTGTCTTCGAGAATCTTCTCTTTCTAGCTAATATGCTGTCCGCTCTAAGGACACCCTTAGAACTTATGTAAGAGACTATCGCACAGCCTTGCAGGCGATACGGCGCCGTACCTCGAAACCTCTTGAGATGAGTGCCAAAATTTGAAACGAGCCAGCGGGCTGAGAAAATCTAAAATTTCCTACGATAATTGGTATTTGAGTAAATATGTACTATTTGATTCCTTCCACGTTATCTCTACAAAGAGCTCCATATAAGTTTTACCGCATTCAGAACAGTCACATCATGCGCCATGAGTGTGCATCGGGATTTGAATTGCGCGCGACGAAAATGTTCGTACCACAAGATCGTACCACAGAATATGGAATTCCCTGAGTCAGGTTGTTTTCACTCCTTCGCATCGGTCCGTTCTGCTTGATTTGGCTACCGCATAAGCGCTTCCTCACTAGCTATGATAATTTGATAAGATTTCGAAAAACTATTCAGTTGTGGAACTAATCTTCGATCAAAATCAACTTTGTGGGTCAGTGTGGTACGAACCGTGCGGCCGTTCTTCTGAACCGGTTTAGCTGGGTACCGCAGCCATGTCCTATTATATGTTCACTTGGGCTGACCATGTGTTTTGCTGCGAATGGGAATTGTGAGTGGTGGTGCAAACAATAAGTTCTCGTGGCTGCAGGCTTTGTTGCAAAAAGTGATGTGCCATGTGTGATGGCAGGCGCGCGACGGCGTAGCGCCCATCGTCGAGAGCACGCCAGCAGTTATCGCCGGTGAGTGTGAAATTCATGACGTTCAGCAACCTCGCTCAGGGCCCCGTATCCCGGTCGAGTTATTATTAAGCCTACCAAGTAGCACGAGTAATAGTTGTAGCAGTAGTAGCGGTGCTGTGTTGGGTCTATCTGGTGCGTGTCTGTGTGAGTGGCTGTTTGTCTGCCGTGAGTAAATGTGGATTGTGGCTGCGCACTGTTATATCGAACCCCCGAGAAAAAATCCACGCAAGTGAAATCGTTTGCTGATGCCGAAGCCAACATCGTCGGTTGATTGGCGAAGCTATTTGGGCAGGTCACCGACTCGTAGACTGTCGATTCCTGTCAACCTGGCTGATTTGGATGAGGTGAGATGAGGCTCGACCCGATGGGCAAGTAATCAGGATCAACCCGGTCATATAATTATTGGTATATAGAGTATGCGTATTGTAACAGATCACACAGCCACATGATGATCCTATATATGCACAGACCGAATACCTATCTCTATGCGTCTGGTAAGTGTTGTGGCCTCAACGTGATGCAGCAGCTTTCCAGTTGGTTCGGGGCGCTACAAATGCACACGCGATCACCTTTGTATACAATACGGACATCGCCAGACATCGCAGAAGACAAGTCGGTCTGTATCGATACCATCATAATATGTAAAAGAGTTGCGGTTGTCAGAAAAGACGACGACACACCTAATTCCTCGATGTGGTCCATTCTGCTTCTGGGGTCTCGTGTTCGCTGCCGCATGTGTGCGCACTTTGATCGTTTGGGGTCTTCTCCTCTTACGGGGTACATACATGAAACTCGTCTCGACACTGTTCACGGAGAGGCTACAGACTGCTATTTTGTCGCTTCCATGCATCGGTTGTGTTTGAATAACCATGCTTTTGTTGCAATAACAGCAGCTAGTTTGTGAGCTTCGTGTATTTGCCGCACGTCTCTGTGTGCTGCAACTCTTTTGCAGCTGTCTAGCTAGGCACATGTGTGTTTATTTGTGCCAGTGTGGTAAAACAGCAGACTTGCTGCTCAACTTTCACTAAGTTCTGAAACTAGTTATGAGATACAGATGTATTTTAGCTATTGAACTTCTGTATTTCCCGGCATGCAATTCGCTAATCGAGTCCCACTTGACCTTACATTCACGTCGGAACAGACGTAGTATCATGCTTCTTTGGCATTTGTGGAAGATTCCGATGATATCTAATTGTGTTGAATTGGCGGTCACGTTCGGTTAAAACTGTAATGAAAGACTACACGCAGCGATGCAATTTAAAGCCGCAAAAAGTAGAGAACTAGATTAGTTAAATCGGAATAGTTGACTTTCCTGAAGACGAATGACATACGTTTTGCTGCTTCTCCCTCTTCGCTAGCTCATTATGGAACATTCTCAATCGATGCTTTACCAACTATACTAATTTTTAATTTAGTAGTACCTACGACAGAGATCTCAAGTTAATAATTGGGGGATTACAAGTTTCCCTTTGTCATAACGGGAAAATTGAATAAGCACGGTCAGATTATCTTATAATGCTTAGTGTACCTTTGGAAAGCTATTAATGTTAATACGTGTTCTCCACTGTCAGCATGCCACACGTGTTACCATTGTGACGGGCTCAGGAAAAAAAACGTTGCTATTGACGTTGTTGTCATCGTCATCGTACTGAATTTCCCACCCCAATCCCCTGTATTGTTCCTTCTTTTTCTTTCTGCACAACTCACTGTCTTGATTTCTCTAGTATGTCATCGTTCCTGCTGCGAACCTTTTGTTGGGTTCCCGTTCGAAATCGTTGTCGATGCCGTCGTCTCCTTCTCAGTTAGTGTCTGAGTCCAAGCGACAGCAGCGTGGATATGCTGATTGGCTGGCCGCTCAGTAGTCATGCAGCCAGCTGCGTTGCTGTTTACCTGTTTGGCTGTCTGACTGCGGTCCCTCGGGCAACAACTTACAGGAGGTAACACGAGCGACAACGATGACGACGGTCACGGCGGTGGTGCGCTGCTGCTGAACGTCGTATGGGTTCCTATACGCGTTTGTGCGAATGTTTGACTTGCAGCAGCAGCGGGCTGAGAGGCAGCGATTGCTTGCCTGCAAGCTTGCGAGTCCACTGCTGGCCTGTTTGCCTGCACTATTCTGCTGCTGGCCACTAGCGATGGTAGGACGACGGCTATGGCGACGATGATGAGAAGGTTTTGGTTGCTTACCTGTTTGACTGTTGTTGGCTCGTTTACTCGGCTCAATGGCTGCACTAGCAGCTCGCTTGTTCGCCCGCTGCCTTCTTTGATCACCCGCCCGCTGCCTTCTTTGATCGCCCGCCCGCCTACCTACTTGTTTGCCTACCTGGTTGCGCGTGTTTAAACGTGCCTATTGCTTAGAAAGCTAGCTTGCTATATTTGTCCATACACAGGCGACGAGGACGTGTGTGGTTCTAGGATTTATTGTGATGACGGTTTCTCCTTAACTTTGTGCCATGCCGACGTTGTTAGTACTCATACTCTTGCTGCTGCTGCTACTGCTGCTGTGGCTACTACGGCTCTCGACAATGCAACTTGCTCTTGTCCTATTCAACCCCCAACAATCTCTTAGACAGGGTCGTGTTGCTGAGTGCGTTGTGTTATAGAGCAGAAGCGAACGCTTATGCAGTATCAGAATTATAACGAAATGATGACAGTGTTATCGGCGGCCGCAACAGTAGTGACAGATAATCACGGCGATTCGCAAGCCGTAATTATGGCGCGGTCCTATATGCATATCGTGGGTATTGACTTGATCATCAAGCTCCCTAGGCTTTTGTTAGAACGTTACTAGTAACTGCCAGTCTACTTGTAGCGTTAGTCGTATAGGCGCATTGTAATATAGCTATAGTTCGAGCTATAGTAAAAGCGGACGTACTTTTGCTGCTGCTGCTGCTGCTGCTGTTATAGGAGGAGGAGCAGCAGCAGCTGGTGAAATAGCGTAACGCAGAAACGCACACTGCAGCAGTGGCAAAAAATATCACGACACGACGTTAGTAGCTATGGCTTACATTATCGATGCGACAGCCACCATTGACGAAGCTGCAGCAATAGCAGCAGCCACGTCGACTGAACAACGACACCAATACTAATAATGTCATCAGCTGCGGCTTCAAGTTCGCCGATGTCAATGCCGCAACGCCCCGACTGTGAAGCAGATCATGGCAGCTCTGTCACTGCTGCTGCTGCTGCTGCTGCTGCTATTGTAGTTTGTCTATCTGCCAAAAATTTAATTGTTATAAGCCATTGGTTCGGCAGCTAGCAGCCTGAAAGTATTTGTAATTAGTTTGTAGTAGTTTATTGTTACGATATTGTAATCGTTACGATAAGATTCAAGTGAGGTAGTCGAGTAATTTGCTGCTACGAACTTTATTTACACTAACTCGCAACAGTTATTTACTACGTAGTGCTTCAGTTATTGCTGCGTAAACAACGGTGGCTTCACCACCTCCACTGCCATCATGACCGTCATCATTGTTGTTGTCCGCATGAAGACTGTTGGACTTCACTCCCGTATGAATGAATGAATGAATTTCAGCTGTCGTCTTAAAATACCAATTAGTGTTATCTCGTTAACATAGTAACGGTCAAAGCTCGAGACTTGCGAATACACAAGTCAAATAGAGGCTAACTATATGTTCCCCATGACAACGTAGTGGTGACATGTTTGCCCGCTAAATTTAGGGATGTGGTCTAGCTTTAAAACCGAGGGTGAACACACCTAATTTCGTGGGGGGAGCCAGCAGTCTGGCTGAAGCAATATACGTAAAAATCTGAAAAAAAAGAACAATGCGGTAAAAAAATATACACACAAGCGTAAATAAATGCACTTACCTGGCTGATGTTGAATTTGTACGAGCTGAGTACTGGTAAACGCATTGTCACCCGCTGCCGCATTCTTCCATTCATTGAGGGGTACGGGCATCATTGCTACATCCCTCCGTTCGCTAATCGAAAATCAACAGTTAGAACCATCATTACGGCCCACAATAGGGGAGCAGCAGCAGCAGCAACAAAAACAATCAGCCCCAGACGGAAAGTCCACCTTTTCCCTGCACGTTACTGATTCCAACAACCGGTCTACAGTTGCCTCTGTTGATAATACCGCGGTTGCTGATAATATTTTAGTTACAGGGATTAACTATTTGCTTCTTCGTAGTCTGTAGAATGTTGGTGCCTATGAATTTATACTGTGTCTATATATGTATAGGTGTGTATGTATGTGTCGACTTGCGTATGAATATTGCCGTTGGGTTATTATTATGGTGCCTGTGATGATCATGGTTCGCTTGCTACTGCTTTCGTTGGCCTATTTTTGCCCGTGTGGCGCGGCATCATACGGTGATCACGTGGATGGTACGTATCTATCACTATCATTTAAAGGAATCAGCGAATAAGTTAACGACGAAGCAAGCCAACAAACGGATGACGCGGAAACAAACAACGTACATAACTGTACGGCGACGGAGAAGATCGTCGTACTCGTTCAGTGGCAGGGCGACGCGTACTCTATCGATATCTTTGTTAGGACCGTCTTCGGCGAGACGATATCTATTGGACGCATCGCAAAAGTTGTTATTGCCTTATTATATTATAACTAAATTGTCCTGCCTCTAAACTAGTTGCTACTCACTAATGTGTTTACTTTTTAATCCGATAATTGTGGTTCGCTTATTATTGCATTTAAGGTTCTTATCATTGCTGGATTTAGCACATAATTGCGAATGTAGACTTTAGAATGAACAATGATCAGAAGGCGAACTGTTGGGCGCTAACCGTAGACTAGAATGTCTAAGATTGTTAGTTATTATTATTAGTTAGCTGGTTTTATGCTAACGACTACATGTTCAAGTTCAGCATATGCGGATTTTTTATTCCCATTCCCAAACTTTAGTCGGAGACATTTTAAAGAGCCTGCCGTGGGCTTAGTCTCAAAGCTGACCATTAAGGCAGGAAACCTGCTGTTGTTGTTGTTGTAAAATTGATAACCTAATTTTTAAATTTGACTTTTTTTTATCTTGCGTGCAAAGTTCTGGTAAATTAGACATCAATTTTGATCGAGAAGAGCATTTGAGACTCAAGACAATGACGCTCAGATATCCTTATTGAAACGAGAGACACCCGATGTAGATGCAACGTTTGTTTTATGTTAAATCAGCATTCGATCATTAAAGTCGATTTTGTTTTTTCGTAATGCTTGAAAGCTTTTCTTTCGAATAGGGTACAGTTTGTTTGGTCCAATTTATTTCTGTTTTCGAAAAAATAACGTATACTGAATCTTTGTAAAAACGCTAGTTTTTATCAAAAAAATTACAGGAATTTTTCTTTTCTCATTTACCTTGGCTCATGTTCTACAAGCTGTTTGTTATCGTATGCCTTGCTATATGAAAAGGGAAGGATAAAAGGGCAAGATAATGTTGTTAACATATATATACAGTGTTATTGGTCATCATCAATGGTATAAAAGTGCATCCATCCTGTTTTCTCGCCAATATCTTATATAATGGATTAAATTGTGCAAGCGATTACGCCGTATCGCTGTATATCAGTAGGTTAACAACACGCCATATGGCTCGCATTGTTCGCATGCGACTACCTCGTTGCGGCTACCGTCTTCACTTGTTAGTAGTAGAAGTACGCATTAATCAGAGGTTTTCTAAAAGCAGCGTCAGCACCAACAGCAGAAATACCAATAATATAGGTTTTTCTTGTCGCAAATTTACAACCTAATATTATTATTGCTGAGGTCGTTCCAGCGGCTTCACGTGCTACCCCACTGGGGATAATGATCATGATTATTACCATCAGCTGCGGATGTTGCGGTTTGCGTGGTGAAGTCTAGGTATCTAGTGGCGCATGGATCCTCTGGCTTGTCGTAGTTCGAGTATTTCTTGTTTCTTTTTTGGTTGAACGCTCAGCGCTTGTTGCCGTCGCACTGCAGCCAATACACATTCTACTAGCGCCTTTCTGATCGCAAGCATTGCATTGGTGGCGTGGATGTCGCCACTTCCCTGCCTCTCAGGCTTTCTCTGGTTGCTTGTTTGGTAAAGTATCCGATACAGAGCGTGTAGTAGCAGACTGCCCTCTTGTAGCAGCAACCACAACGACAGGTTGTATAGGCAGACGACAGTAGTCCCATTGCTGTTTGTCGCTTCGCTTGCCGTTGCTGCTGCTGTCAGCGATGTTGGTGTGAATTGGTAGTGTTTACAATCACACCTACGTCTCATGCCTCCCCTTACTCTGTTGTTGGACGTTTCTTTGACCGCATCCTTGTTTCGCTTAATTTTCCTCCAGCAACAGTCGACTGCTATTGTTTGTTGCAGCTGTTTCTTGAAGTTCCGTCGTAGCCGTCGTCGCTGGTGCTGCAGCCTGCTTGCTAGATACACTGACCGTATGAACAAAGTGTCTCTGGTGGGGACGACTGTAGGTAAAGAGCGAGCAACTATGATGAGACGGTGCTACATGACGGCAACCCCACAATTGTCGTAGCGGCGCTGCTATTGTTACTGATACGAGCCATATGGCTGTTGTATTTTGTTCGGTTACAACATTATCGTCATCGTTGTTATCATAAATTGATGAGATGATTATTGTTGACGACTGACTAACGAGACTACAAAGTGCAAGGCGACCAGTACCGGATGTAGGCGGTGCCGCCGAGAGCTAATGGAAACTCGCTTGGAATGGCTGTTATTGCAAACGACGCTGCCGTTGCCGTACTTTCGGTTCCATCTCCCTCCCTCCCTCCCTTCCTCCCCCCCTCTCTCTCTCTTTGTCTAAATCATTTTGATGCTCGTATCGTTTTTTGTGGTAAATCTTACTTACTCTTGCGCAGTCTGTCTGCTTACAGCTGACATGGGTAACAAGATGGTGACACGACAACGGTTATGATCCTGATGACGACCAAGCGATCCTCGAACGGGTCAAGAGTGCTACTGACAATACTGGTACTCTTGCTTTATACATCTGTAAATAATAGAATAAGCCGCAGAGTGGTCACGAAGTTGGCCTGCTGCGCACGACGCTGCCGATGGCTTCGTCCACTAGGTGTACCAGTAGTATAAGGGAAGATTCGAAGATTTAGTAGATAGAGGGAGCCAACTGTCTATTTAAGAAATAAACTCAAGAGACTAATAGGCAGACAGACATAACATGCTGATGAACAGACCACCACACAGACTGACAGAAAGGCAAACGTATGCAGAAAAACGAAAAGGTAACTCACGCCATGACTGATACCTAGTCGAGCGTACTGCTGTTCGGCGTGGTCTGACGGCGACCAACCATTGTGGAGTCAACATATATAGATCAGTAAGGCCCACCGCTGTTGCAACCGGAGCAAAAGCCATTGATTTTATCTTATCTGTCTATGACAACGGTGACGATAATGATAACGATGATGATTGTGATTCTACTGCTGGTTGATCGGTGTAGACTCTATTGCAGTTTTCGCTATTGCTGCGGCCATAATGCAAGTATAGTTGCTGAAACAACGGAGTACCACAACGCCGTCAATGGCGACCACGGGATAGAACCTTTACTGCTCGATGGGTTGATAGTTTTATAATGTATATATTATTATAAAGTATTATCATTGGTACAGCGGTCGCACGGGGTGAAGGAACCACTCGTTTCAAGAGCAGTCCGCAAAACTACATCACAGATGCGTATATCAAGCCAGTTGTGCGACAGTCCCGACTTCGCGAGCCGGATGTTACCTGTTACACAGATGGCAACAACATCAAGATCGTCATTATTAGTGAAAGGAGTAGTTGTGATATAACATCCCAAAAGTAGCAGGAACGCGCAGCTCTTGGCCGCCCATGTTGGATGTTTTGTTTTCGAGGGTAATAATAGCAGTAGAAAGGAGATGGGGGTAATAGACAAGCAGTGAGGGGTATTGCTACTCTACACCAGTGCAGTCTGATGAATTGATGGTGAGGTAGCTGTTGATGATTCAGTCATCATTCGTACAAAACGGCAATAGCACTAGAACGGTAAAAGAAGACAGGTTCTTGCAATGTACGTAACCAAGTTTTCCATACAATTGACCAGAAGAAGCATGGCCCGTCAACACGTCTGCGGTCGCTGAGTGCGCAGTGCATACGACCGGTGTTCTAATTGGGCACTCGTGTAACCTCATTAACACTATGGCAGAGATATTCGTCCTAGAATATCAGACAATCAAGAACAGCAGTAAGCAAGTGTGTAATCTGAGAGCTCACGTTTCACACACAAACTCTCATCTACTGATTCACGCCAGTTTGTTCTGGTAACAGTTTGAGGTACAAAATATATTGAAACTGGTTTCGTGCAGCCAGGCCTAATATTTCGTAAAATACACGATAAAAGACGTAGGTTTTCGAAAGCGATTGTTTAGGAGGCTTCCCGGTTTCTGAAACACACGAAAAGCACCCAACTTGTGCATAACATATCTGTTTTTATAAACCAGTCTCAATTTATTACCCATAATAATGCGCCTTGCAACCTTGAAAGGCGACTAAATGCAGCAAGTGTCTGTAGTGTTCACTTTTTGCGACAAGCAGCCCCGTTTTACCCCGTTTCAAAAACAGCAAAAAGGAAAAACAATATGTAAGTGCAGGCAGCAACAAATGGTGAACGCAAATATTGAATGGGGTGCCCGATTTGCTACCTTGTATCGCTTCGTTAGCGTCAGCGGCAACAGTCTGTGCGCTTTAACTCCAGCTGGCTGTTGTTGGCGGGAAAACTAGAACGAAGGAATTGCAATGCTGTTGCTGCTGCCGCCGTTGTTGCCGCGGCACTTCCGGTAACTACTGCTGCTTCAGTCGGGTATTTCGGATCAGCGAGGGGCATTCTTCTAGCTTGGACCGTCGAAGACTGCAATGCTTGTGCCTGCCATTGCGGTCGCTGCTACCAGCACCAATCTGGTTGTGTTAACGAAAGAAACAACGTGAGAGCAGCGACGGCGGTTACAGCAGTAGATGGACAGACTACCACGAAGCGATGAGTGTCTGTTTATGACGAGTGCTGCGGCGCGCGTACGCTTGTATACCTGTTTCATTCTTTTGGCCGAAGTTTGATGTCGGAAAACTTTAGACGTCCGACAAAGTCCCATCTCGTATAGCCTGATCGACTCGATGCAAAGGTAGATCCCGAAAGCAAGTTTCCTTGACTATAATGGCGGGATGCTCAGCACCGGACAAGCGGAATAACTGTTCGGAACAGGAATGACCGTCCGTTTCTTTTTATTTCGATTTTACTCTAGTCGATCCAGCCGTCTGGTCCGTTTGTTCGCTCGTCTCCTGATCGTGGCCCCTATTTTGGCAATTAACTAAAGACCAACTCTCCGTACGAAGCGGCAGGCGCCACGAGGGCCAACGCTTCACTACTGCCGTTGTTCCTGCAACTGCATTTCTGGCCTTGCTTCTTAGTTCTACTGTTGTTTGCCCTGTGTGTAGAAACGATAGTTGCTGTGGTTACTGGGATATCTGGCTGTGGGGACGTTGGAGTCGATTGTTTCTCGCATGGCGCAGCGATGTTTGACTGTGCGCCGCGCTATTGCCTACGGTTTCACGTCACCATGAAATTCAGCGCCATCACCATCGTCTTCATCGTCATTACCATTTGATTTATTATGAACATATTGTGTACGCTTCTGCTGTAGCATACAGCATCTGTAACCACAAAACGTAAATGAATGAAGGAAAAACGAGTCGTTTTAGTTTCCATTGCTATAGAACGTAGATTCCAAGGGCAGCGACCCTTTACCTGCCCGTACCTTATTAGTTCTGTCGTCCTTGAGGCAGTCGGCGTCGTGTAGTTGTTCAGTCTCGTAACGGTGTTGCATTTAATTGAGTTCAGTCCTTCCAGAGTTTATTAGCCTCTGGTCGTAGTTCGATGGCTTATGATGATGCCGTCGGTGTTGAGGGTTAGGCTTATTTCGGCTTCATGCACAACGACACAAAGCATTAAGTTATATGTGTTGTTTTATTGAAACGATTACCCCTTTCGTTTCCTTAAACCAGATCGACTGCAGCGCATAGGTTACACCAGTATATATAAATCCATATATCCTGCCAGCCCCAACAGCAGCGCCAGCAGGTACTTTTACTCCTAGACGCGGGCCATGGCAGCAAGCAGTGCTATCATCGATAATCTCTTACTTTCGTAGCCCTGCGAGCAATTGGGCCAGTGCCGCCGCGTACGTCACCGATAGCAACACCGATAGAAGCAGAAGCAAATGCATCAGAAGCTGTACGGCTGGCGGTTTCAGCAGCCACGGCGATTTGTCGGTGGACAGACGTGCTTGTAATAGCGTCGGGGATAGCAACAGAAGGCCAGCAAGTTAACCAACGGACCAACCGTGCAAGCAAGCAAATGATAGAAAAATGCGGCCATCCAGCGATGAGACGAAGTTAGATGACGAAGGGGGAGGCATTTCTGGTTACTGTCCAAAAGATCGCTGTTACTCTTCTTAACCTGATTGATTATTGAATACTACCAATGCTCTTTGACAACTTCGCCGACACCTTTAAACTGTTTTATGGCAGAATCAAGAGTTAATAGTACATGGCCGATAATTTGCTACATTGACGTCTGGTAATCAATTATCCTAAAATAGGATCAGCAGCCTGTTTACCTTGTAGTGTATACCAACCAAAAAAATCGTAGCGACAGTATTAAAATGTTACATAATATAGGAAATAGCTCTCGTATGACCACCATACACTAGTCAATATCAGATATTACAGTAAATCGTGTTACATCTTTTTCTTTCGTAAATTTGGTCGTTAGTTCCACTCGCTATTAGTGGCGTCGATACAGATGGCCTATTAATGTGATCAGCAATTATCACAAATCAGCGTTGTTGTTGTTACATTCGATCATCTTCTTTATATTTTGCCCCTTATTGTTGCTTTTACACACACAAACACATATGGGCTATATGTGCGTTTTTCCTCACGGCTGGTTTCTATGTCGTTTTCTATACTTGGCGGTGAATTTCAGAAGAGCCCGTTTATTTGCCCGCCCAACCGAAAGACAGACAATGCGTGTTTTGCCTCCAACATGGCGATTCGATATTTCTATCATGTGTTCCACGCCTGTTTACGCTGGCTATTCCATATCGCTTAGTTCTTGTTGCATTTCAAGCCTGTCGGCCTCCGGTGCGGGTCCGCCGAAGCACCTCCATCACAAGCAACTTGGCTGCTACAGTCGCTTGCGGGCATAATGTCTTCAGGGGCAATGCTGCTACTGATAGATAAATACTAAATGCATTGGCTGACACACACTGAATAGGCAAACAAACAGATAGGGGTGCAGACACAACTGCTAACGTCGCCGTTGCTGCTATTGCAATTTGGAGAGAGTGATAGAGAGAGCCGCTTGACGACCATGCATGGCCTCAACCTAATGTGAGTAATCGTACAAGTAGCATCGTGTTGGTTCTGGCTATTTTTCTCGGCTGTGGCTGGGAATGTTGGCGGAGCTACTATTATTTTATTCTGTTACTCTGTTTTACTCGGTGATGACGAAAACCAACGGTCCGCCAGTGCGAGCTGTTAGAACAGACTGTCTTCTGCCACCACCGCTGTTACTGATACCAATACCGACTAGTGCAGCTGAATCTGTTAAAATGCGGTAGTGAGTTACTGTTAATGGCGCTTCTCCGCACCCGGGCTTCATACAGTGTAATCATTAATAGCAAACACGCAACAAATATTCGTCACCGCTACTGGGCGAAGCTGTCTGCCGAACATCCATCCATATACCTAGCCGTAATAGTAGCATTTGTTGTTGCCAATCTGTTGTCTTTTTCGTCTTTGTTGCTATTGCAGCTGTTAATATTGTTGTTTCCTGCTCGATATGAGGACCAGTAGAGGTGTCTAAGCCTTATGCTTTCGTTGGCCATTCCGCTGCTTGCAGTAGAGACAGTCTGCGTTCTAATCTTACTATTAGTGCCCGTGCAATATGTTTCGTTTCTACATTGACCAGTGGTTGTTAGCTTCAACATATCGCAAACAGAATGTGTACTGCATTACCAATTTGTCATTGCTAATGTAATACACCCGTGCATATTGATGGTGGATTTGTCGCCCATTTTTATCCATATGTTATTTTACTGTTTCACTTCCCAGCTTGTTGTTGTGGTCATTACTGTCGTTGTTGGAAGAAGGTTCAAATCCAGCAGTACTCTGAATTAATACGGCGGCAAGAATAACGGCAGCCGAATAAGCGGCTCGGCCGTCGACGTATTGGTGCCTAATGCTGG